GAGGGGGCCGGAGGTCCCCACCCCCAAGTTGCAATGGGCATTGCCAATCAAATGCTGTATGTGTCCATGTCTTGTGAACTACTATGTGGGGTGGGGCTTACCTCATACCCTCCAACATTTCTGTGATGAAAATAGGGACATCCTAATAATAATAATAATAATAATAATTAATAATAATAATATTTATACCCTGCCCATCTGATTGGGTTGCCCCAGCAACTCTAGGCAGCTTCCAATATGTATAAAAACACAATAAAAAGATTAAACATTAAAAAAACTCTATACAGGGCTGCCTTCAGATGTCTTCTAAAGGTTGTATAGTTACTTATCTCCTTCAGACAGCTTGGGGGTCAGATAACGCCATGCCCTCCAACATTTCTCTGATGAAAATAGGGGCGTCATCAGGAAAAGTGGGACATTCCGGGATCAAATCAGAAACCGGGACCACATCTGTAAATCTGGGGCTGTCCCTGGAAAATAGGGACACTTGGAGTGTCTGTTACCTGCCTCCCCAGTATTTTATTCAAGTTGGCACTCCTCTCCTGGAGTGTCCATGCTTGGCAGGCAGCAGACTCCATCCTTGTCACATCCAAAATCTCATACTGCACCAGACTTGACAATTCTAAACCAGTCCTGGCTAGACCCCTTGACCAGTTTTCTTTTTCGTTTTTAAATCACAAGTCGATGAGCCTTCCCGTTTGTCTGCTTCCAGAAGCAAGTATTCAGAAGACTACTGCCTTTGTACACCAAAGTTCCGTGGGCATTATATTTCACATATCTTACCGAAAATAGCCCATGTTTCCAATATCCCAGTGCCTTCAAATAGCTAGAACAGGGACTGGGGAATCCAGATGTTCCTTGCTTCACTTTGGACTCCAGTCAGCATGTCCAATGGTCAGGGAAGACAGGAACGATTGCCTCGCAACATCCAGACAGCCATGGATTCCCCACCCCAGGAGAGAAAGTCACATGTTCTCCATCTGCCTTTACATCCTCCTACTTTCCTCCCTGGACTTTTGCATCTGACATTCCATTGTTCATGCCTTGTGAGAACCATTGTGAGGGAAGTGAGTAGCTTTGGAGTGATGAACTCATTTCCCTGCCTGTGACAGCAATGTAAGACACCACCCAGGATGTGGTGCTGACTGCCTGGGCTATGCTTTGGACATGTTCTGGAGAACAACGGCTTGTGTGAGAGCATATAACTCCATTATTAGTGGGCTGGGGGAAATGAGGCTTCTTGTTTTCACTCGCCTGCTTAACAATCCATCTTTTTGTTTGCAGTACAGTATCTCCATTCAACGCATTGATAACTGGAATAAAACTTCCAGTTGATTGATTGATTGATTGATTGATGCTCATCAAATGCGCCATTTCAAGAGATTGGCATCTGCTTTGCACAATGAGTGACATGTAGGATTGAAAGTTGGGGCTTATGTTTGTGTATGGTTACCAGACGTCCCCGTTTCCCGGGGACAGCCCCCAGATTTCATTAAATGTCCCCGGATTTATATTTTAAGTGTTGTAGATTTATTAGTAGGGAATGAATGTTGCATGATAGGTTCAACGGCACAACAAGACACATCATATGGGGACTTCTGGCAAGGCAAAATGGCGGGCGCCATGGCAGCGAGCAGCTCCTGAAGCCAGCCAGAGCCAACTGCGCTACCAGGCTGGCTCCAGGCTGCTGAGACTGCCGTTGCCGCTGCCACTGCCGAGGGGGAACCAGGGACACCCGGGTCGTCAACTGGGGGAACCGCTGACACACACACACACGACCCAAATCGAGCCGGGCGCAAAGTGCCTGGCCACCCAGCCTACTGTCCAGCGGTGCTCTGGGGCCAGGAAAACCCTGGAGCTGACACAAGGAGAAAAGGGGAGAGGAGAAGGAGAAAGGGGGAGAGAGAAAAAGGAAGGAGAAAAAAGAGGGGAGACCCGACCTTGCCCGCTACTGCTGCCGCTGCTGAGGAGAAGAGGTAGGAGAGCACCGGGAGGGCAAGGACATGTGGCCGAGCCCAGGCCCGACCCGAGCCTACTCCACGGTGGCTAGCACTCCAAGAGGGCAGACCCGGGCCCAGAGGAAGGCCATGCGACAAAGGAGACCACGGTAGAGAAGATATTACTACTTCTTTTTTTAAAAAAATTACAAAAATAACTTCCTCCTTTTCAAAAAAAGAAAAAAAGTGTCCCCAGATTCTTTGAAAAAAAATTGGTAACCTAATGTTTGTGGCATAATTCCCCATTTGAAGTTGAAACATTCGCCCACAGACGGATTGTTACAAAGGAAGGGAGGGGACTTGCAATTCCTATTGCAATGCAAACTCTTTTGTGAGCGCTGAAGTTACCACAGTGAAACTTGACTGTGCACGTTTAGTACCTCTTCTGTTTGAAGGTCAAACATGTTCTTGTTCGCTGCTCACATTTTCAAGGGGAAAGAGGAAAGATGCACTGTGCTTTACTAGCTTATTATGAACTGCCCCATGTTACGCTTATCCTGTCAGCTCTCAGTCTGTGAGCTGGGAGTCTCACTAGAGCGCATAAGGCGACTGTAGTGGGACAGCCATTCTGAAATTCTGGAGTGTGTGCTTTCATTCCTCTGGGTTCCTTCAAGCAATATCCTGACTCCAGTACAGTGGTACCTCGGGTTTTGAACGTAATCCATTCTGGAAGATGGTTCGACTTCCGAAACGTTCGAAAATGGAAAACTCAAAATGGAAAACTCAAAACGAAAGCCGTGTTTCCTGTTTGACGTCCAAGGCACATTTGAAAACCAAAGCATTTCTTTCCGGGTTTTTGGCATTCGAGTTCCAAAACATTTGTCAAGGGAAACGTTTGAGAACTGAGGTACCACTGTAAATCCAGTAGACACAGAGGGGCAGAAGTCCACACACTCAACTTTCAGGAGAACTCCATTTATACTATACAGTGGTACCTCAGGTTACATACGCTTCAGGTTACATACGCTTCAGGTTACAGATTCTCCTAACCCAGAAATAGTGTTTCAGATTAAGAACTTTGCTTCAGGATAAGAACAGAAATCGTGCTCCAGCGGCGAAGCGGCAGCAGGAGGCCCCATTAGCTAAAGTGGTCTTCAGGTTAAGAACGGTTTCAGGTTAAGACCGGACCTCAGGAACGAATTGCGTACTTAACCCGAGGTACCACTGCACAAGTACTAAACTGTGAGAATCCAGACTAGACAAGGTGTGTTCTGTCTCCCCCCCCCCCACCTGGAGAGAATGTCTCCTTTACCTTCCAGTCTATCAGATCCTCCACGCAAGTGTTAGGCCTGCCCCCAACCTCATTTTCTTACTCATAGTGCCTTTCTTCTAGAAAAAAAGGTGTCAGTAGTACTCACCATGAAGTTGTTACAGTTAAGTGCCACACTTTTAACTAGTTATTTTCTTCTTGGCGGGGATGGATGAGAGTGGCAGTACCACATACCCTTGGGTACCCCCAGAAAAAGAGCACTTCTTACTCAGTCCAGAGTGTCCTCTGGGGATGAGCACCTGGGACTGTATCTGAGCAAAGCAAACATAGATGCAAACTGAGAGTGAAAGGTTAGGTACCAGGACCAGCCCTACTTTTAGGCAGAGCAAGGCAGTTGCCCAAGGCAAATAATGTTAGCTTTCAAATCTCAGCATCTCAGCAAGAAGCTGTGGGGAAAGAGTAGGTGAAAGTAAGCCATGAGTAAAAAAACCAAAAAACCCCAAAACCCACAGACTTCATCTGCCTGTTCCTGTGCGCCATAAATGCCCGCCGACTGTGCCACATGGCACATCCATGTGGCAGGTCTCTCTCTGCATTTGTCTGTCTGATTCTGTCTGGTTGTCCGAGATTCCAGCACAGTCTGACGAAGAAGCCGAACCCAAGCTGCGTCAAAGCAGTCCGGTGGGGAAGATCAGCAGCAGAGAACAGCCTGTATGTGAATGGCTTCCACGCATCCTTACCGAGGGAAGGAAAAATGCCACAGTCAGGTATACTGTGGAGTGCAAACTTAAGCGCAACCGATAATATGCGTAACAGAGGGCTTAGTGATGTAGCAGTTGTAGGACATGGGAGACCAGGACTCAAATCCATGCTCAGCTATGAAACTCAATGGGAGACCTTTGGCCAAGCACTGCCTCTCAGTCTACCCTACCTCACAGGGTTGTTGTAATGATAATTCAACCTGAAGCGAGGGCAGAGGCGGCGGGGCCTCCCGGGGGACTGATCCCCACTCTCCCCTTCCTCTTGGGGTAAAAAGGTAAAGGGACCCCTGACCATTAGGTCCAATCATGACCGACTGGGGTTCCGGCACTCATCTCGCTTTATTGGCCGAGGGAGCCGGCGTACAGCTTCCGGGTCATGTGGCCGGCATGACTGAGTCGCTTCTGGCGAACCAGAGCATCGCACGGAAACGCCGTTTACCTTCCCGCCGGAGGTAAGTCCTAGGCTCTGTGGTTTAACCCACAGCGCCACCTCCATCCTCTTCCTCTCAGGGTAGGTGATCCCAAACCTATTTATCTACTTGCACTTTGATGTGCTTTCGAACTGCTAGGTTGGCAGGAGCTGGGACCGAGGAACAGGAGCTCACCCCGTCGCGGGGATTTGAACCGCTGACCTTCTGATCGGCAAGTCCTAGGCTCTGTGGTTTAACCCACAGCGCCACCTGCATCCTCTTCCTCTCAGGGTAGGTGATCCCAAACCCTCCAAGTGTCCCTGTTTTCCAGTTTACAGGAGCCATTTCTGATTTCCCGCTTTCCCTTACAGTGATGGCCAAACTTGGCCCTCCAGCTGTTTTCGGACTACAGTTCCCATCATCCCCGACCACTGGTTCTGTTAGCTAGGGATGATGGGAGTTGTAGTCCCAAAACAGCTGGAGGTCCAAGTTTGGGCACCACTGCTGCTTCCATTGGTGACATGCATGGCATCCCGCGTCGCCCTTTTAAGAGGCGTGCTTGTCCTCCACGTGCTGGCGGTGAGTGACTGAAATACATAAACAGAGGCAGAGCAGCAGCAGCAGCAGCAGCGAGAGCAGAAGGAAGCCGCGGTTGACCGATAATAACCTCCTCCGTGCAGCGCCGGCGGAATCTATATAAGGAGCTCCGGGTTCAACAGATCTCCTGGTCTCCGTCCGTGGGGCAGCTGGCAAGGGGCAGAGGCAGATCTCCCCGCCGCCTTACTCGCCCCGTCTGCAAATAACAACCACCACACAACAGCCACAACCTCTTTGCCCAGGTCCAGAGGGACTATCATCAGGCTTCGTGGAGAGGACTTTTCTCTTTTCCATTCCCCATCGAAGGGGACAAGAAAGACACCCTCAGATCAAACTGGCGAGCAGGTAAAATGAGATGGGGTTGGGGGTTTTTTTTGGGGGGGAATGGGGTTGGGGCTGGGAAAATGGTTGGGGGTTCAAGAGGGTTGTTGAAAATCAGCCCACCCCCGGTTAAGATGGACTTTGGGGGGCTCCCCCTGCTTCCACCCACCCCACACCAGCCGCCCCATAGAAAGCTGCCGGGGCTTCCTTTGCGCCTATGCAAAACCGACACAAAGAGCCTCAGCGCTGGCGCCGAAAACAACTCACTTTGGGGGAACCTCGCTGTTTTTCTTTCCATGCTTTGCGTGGGGCTGGGGAAGCAGACCTCTGAGCATGTGCAGAGTGCGTTTTGTTCCTCTCTCACACACACCTTCCTCCCCCGCACGTTCCGAGCATGCCTGGGCGTCCCAGCACCCTTATTTTTCTGTTCCGTTTCGTTTCGGTGCCTGTTGGGTGCAACTCCGGCCGGGAATTGGGACGCGTTTTGGAGAGGACAAAAGAGGCGAGGCGAGCCTGGCTTGGCGAGGCATGTAAATGTTTGGGCATCTAGCTAGAGCAAAAAGCGACGCCTCAAGTTGCTTGAGGTCCCCCCAGATATATTTTCATTTCGTTTTCTTCCTTTCTATCCTGCCCCTCTTTGTTTTCCCCCTGTGTCAAAGCAACACATTTAGCTCCTCAGGGTTAGTTGAGGAGTGGAGGCAGCGCGCAAATTTCTTATTTTTCCTCTCGGCAGAAAAGGCTCTCTCTGCACGAGACTTGGTGCACCTTGAAAAGAAACAAATAAGGTTTCTGGCGGCATGGAGGGTTGGTTCCCTTGGAGCCGAGCCTGAGAGAGGGAGCCTGTTTTTCTCTTTTTCTCTCTTTCGACGGCTGCTTTATCAGAAGACGCCTGCAGTTGGGGCTGTTGAGGCAAGACCCCCAAAAAAAATAGGGCTGCGAGGAGAGACAGACAGATACGAGGAGCTCTAAGTAGCTAGAAATGACCGAGAGTAACCCCGGGGTATGTATGGCAGCTTAATGAAAGCCACCAGCCTGGCAAATGGAACAATAATAATAATAATAATAATGGTGCAAATCCATCTCATCTGATGGATTTTGCACCTCAGCCCTGGTAAAAAAGCACTCTGGACACAGGAAAAGTTTTTTGGGGTTTTTTTTTGCAAGGAGAAGCAACATATAGCAATAAGAATATATTTGTAAGAATAGTAGCAATAAGTTTAAAACATGCTTCTGGTCTTTTGGCCCACTGTTGTGGAAACGGATTCCATTCTTTGTGAGTCAGGGCCCAACAGGAACTGGGAGTTTTGTTTTGCAAGGGTTGGGATAGAAAAAAGGAAGCCCAAGGGAAGCCCAAGGGAACAGGGACTAGCAATGATCATTTTCCTGCCCAAGCTGATCTACAGTGCGATCCATTGGTCTGGGAGCATTGTAAATACTGCATGTGAACAAAAAGGCCATAGTTGTGCTGGGGTGTGTGTGTATTGGTGATAAATGAGAGTTTGGTATTGTATGCATATGGTTGTGTTTGTGGATTAGGTTAACAGCCTGGGTAAAAATCCCCCCCCCCTCAGCCATGAAGCTTCTTAGGTGAGCTGAAGACCCTCACCACTTTCTCTCAGCCTTACCTACTTTACTGGGTTGTTGTGATGGTGGTGAATCAAACCCCGCTCTGAATTCTTTGGAGGAAAGTTGAGAGACAAATGTGGCAAATAAACAAGAATAAAAAGAAGTTTGAGATGGATAACAGGAGTTTTATTTGTTTGATGCACCTTTTCCTCCACGGACTTCAAGGCAGCATACATGGTTCTCTCCCCCCTCCCATTTAATCCCCACAACGATGCTACAGATGTGTCAGGCCGAGAGGCAGTGACTGTTCCATGGTCACCCTGTAATCTTAATGGCCGAGTAGGGATTCAAACCCTAGTCTCTCAGTTCCAACACTCTATCCACTAGACAACACTGGCTCTCTTAAAAAAACCCATCAACCCATGTTTTCAACTTTAAATTTAATGAGTTTGTTTCTACCCAGTGAGCTTGTTGCAATTTCAGGTTTGTTTGTTTTTTATTTTAAAAGCGTGCTTAGAAATCATTTTCATGAAGCATCACTGTAGATCCTACATGCATGTCTTTAGTTGCTTGCACATACTGTGTAGACCAATTGTGGTTCCCCAGGGTCAATACCCCTGACTTGTATGACTGGCACACAGTTGTCCATTACACCACCCGACGATACCATCATTGCAAGTTTTAAATAAGATCTTCCTCAGAAATGATGACGCCAAACGTTCTTTCTCTGTATGGAGATCTTTTTCTAGGACCTTGGCGGGCGATGCGTTGGCCCTCAAGACATTGCTGAACTAGGATGTTCATCATCCCTGCCCATTAGTCAGTCTGATGGAGCCTGATGGGAGCTAGAGTCCATCTGCAGGGCCACAGCCTGCTCACCAATTGTGAAATTCTGCAGAGTGCCTTTTTGATGTTGCTGCACATCATCTTCATATACATGGAACTAGCAAACTAGGGAGAGACCTTGTAGCTGAACCCTCTCCCCAAAGTTCTCCGACTGCAGGAAAGACACAATTATTCTGTCTGCGCGAGGTTAGTTTTGCCTCCTTATAGTGTAGAGTTTCCCCACATCCTGGAATGTCCCTTATCCAAGCCATCCTCCCGCTTCTTCTCTGCTGTGTAAGCTTTCCTCGCTCCCTGTCCTGCTTTTCTGTCCTGTGGCCTTGTGAAACTCCAGCTGTTTTTGTTCTAAAGCAGTGCTCTTGGTTCATCCAAGGTCACAGCAAGGGCCAGCAGTCCTGGCTGGTTCTCCACGTGGACCGAATGTACATCTTGCAATGTGTCCTAGAACTGCCTGCTTGGCTGCAGCAGGGGAAAGGGTCCCTAAAGGCAGAAAAGACAGGAGTGGACGTTACTGAGCAAATGGAAAGAAGAAGCCTCACATCTTCCTATTCCACCCCACACTACGGCAGAAGTTCTCCTCTTCCTGCCAGGGAACATTCAGTGAAGTTAAGAGGGAGGGTAACTAAAATCACAACTTGCTTGTCCCTTTCCTCCCATGCATGCGGAGGAAGGTGACTAGTAGCTTAACATCTGCAGCTACTCCTGGGGTCATTTTTAAAGATGTAGGTGCTGTGACCTGGCCAGGCCCTAGAACCCCTACTTTCACCAAAAGATACTTCAGGAGGCTAACAGTGCTGGGATCACAGCAAAGTAAATGACCAATGACCTGATTCCTAAGGGTCATTGGAATTGCTCTCTGTGAAAGTCAGTTTCATTTTTTTGAATCTGGTTTGATAGTCATCTAGTTTAGCCCTTCAATGCAGGAATCTTTTGTCTAACAAAAAACGTCTCTGTAGTGAGTTTCCCATTCCAGGACTTCTTCCAGTGAAGTCAGCCTAGAGTTGGAACCGTAGGCAACTTCCTGCAAATAGAATAATCATTTCATTTATATTCTACTTTTCTTCCAAGGCAGCATAGCAATGCGATTGGTACTCTTCCCACTGGCATTCTATTCTACCAACAAACCTGTTGGGTAGGCTAGGCTGAGCTATATTAAGTGACCCAAAGTCACTGCATGAGTTTCATGGCAGACTGGGGTTTTTGAACCCAGGTCTTCCTGGTCCAACACACGTAACCACTACACCTCATTGGCTCTCACCAAGTAATAATAATGACAGATAGTCAAATCAATGTTTTGGATTGCAGAACTCCTAAGTAGTCATTCTGCTTATAAAAGACTGCATCCTTTTTGTAATCCTTGCAAGGCGAAAAAAAATAATGAATTATGTAATATAAGTCAATAAGATAATTCCAGCATGCAGAAAGCAATTATGCTGATGACTACAATTATAACAAAAGATTAATGTTTCCTGCTGCAGCTTTCTTTTTAACTTTACCTCTTATCTGCTGCGATAAATATCTTTTAATGAACTTTTGCAGGTGGCAGAACAAACAGACTTTTATGTTTTTATGGTCTTGATTCAAGACTCTTGAATTTTCTATGATAGTGACATGGAAATCAAATGCAAGCATTCTTGCGTTCCCATTTGATACTCTTTGTGTGCAACAATTCCATTATCTCTGGATGAAATATGTCCCTCTCTCCGTGTCTCTGTGTGCAATCACAGTCCCTTCCCAGGACAGATGGAGCATTCTGGGCTTCTGTGAGACATTCTGCAGATTTGCGCTAATCACATAGTGTTGGGGTCTCCTGGGGCACCATATTGTTGACATGGCAGATGTAACTGCTCCCTCTGATCTACTGGAGTCCATTGTGTTGATGGGAGCTTGAACACATGCTGTTGTTCTATCATTCAGCTTGTCTCCTCTTGCATCTGTCTCCTAAGGCAGTGATTTCATCAATGCCCTTAGCGTGAATATCTTCTGCTACTCTGCAGATAAAATTGACTGCTAAAATGCGTGCCACACAGTTCTCTAAATCGTTCTAGAGAAAGGTTCTCCCTATTTGAAAAAGTAATAGCTATCCATTAGGGAATCAGTCTGTTCTCCCTCAGTTAAAAATATTAAATAAGGGAGGCTTCCTCTTGTCTTCCTGTGTTATGTTCTATCAGGTTAGATTTGGCTTTTGATAAAATACCACATGGGTGTTACTGCAGGCGGCAAATTGATTGTGTGGTTTTTATAAAGTGGATCGCATATTATTTTTGTTTGAAGAAGAGCCTGACAATTGAAAATGTGTTGGGCCTCAATTCGTTGCTCAAGGTTCACTTTGTGATCACTTCTGAACTATAATTTCTTCACTGCAGTCGCTGAGGATATTTATCTTCACTTTTCTAGTATTCATAGAAAGACTCAGCCGTTATATACATATAAGATACAGTTCCTTGGTTCTTTCTGTATGTCACATTCTTGGATAACCAGGGGATAGGAAACACCGGATGGGGCTATTGAAATTGAGCTTCCGTTCTCAGTGGTTTCCGTTGACTTCCATGGTACAAAATTGTCTGCAGCCAGCAAAATCACACTTTTATAGCAATTGGGCTGTAAAGAGATCT